AAGCCGGGCGGTGGTGGCGCACGCCTTTAATCCCAGCACTCGGGAGGCAGAGCCAGGCGGATCTCTGTGAGTTCGAGGCCAGCCTGGTCTCCAAAGCGAGTTCCAGGAAAGGCGCAAAGCTACACGGAGAAACCCTGTCTCGAGAAAAAAAAAAAAAAAAGAAAAAAGAAAAAAAAAAAACAGCAAACAAGAGACATAGGTATAAACTTGAGCAGTAACGTTTGTTTGGCCTCAAGTTGCTCTGTTGACAGCCTTCTTTTTGCTCTGCTCAGCGCTGGCTAAAATGAGAAGGGACCTCTGCGTAACTGTGTGGGGAGAACACTGCCACCCAGCCTTTCACTGGCCTCATGGTTACTGATCCTTATTCAGAACAATGAGCATTGACCTCGGAGCCTTCGCTCTCTGCTTACTTACAACAAAACGATTTATATATATTGACGTCCTGTTTCCCTGCCTGCATTGTATACTCAGAGACGCAGAGGTTATGACTTGTATTCACTTCTTTATTCATTCAACAGATGTACTTATTAGGATGCAGCATGAGCACATAGGAAGAGTTTTGTGTGTTCTGGTGATATGAACAGTAAAAGATTGTGAGCAATTAGTTTAATGAGTATATAGTTGTTGCCAGAATAGCTGCTAAAGTAGGGGTAACCCATTTGTGCTGTTACTCACTCCTAGAATCCCAGAGCCTGTTCACTGTCACCTTTGCAGTAGAGGACAGCATATCCTGAGCCTCCTTTGGATCCTCCCTCTGCGGCTCTCTTATTACAGTGTAAGAAGATATATAAGGTACAAAGAATTTCCTTGGAGCAATGTGTGGAGACTTTTAGGATCCCAACACTAAGAAGGCTGAGAGGACTACTCTTGACTTCTAGGCCAGCCTGGACTGCCAAGTGAGACCTGTCTCAAAAACCAAGACCAACAAGCAAACATTTCGTGGTACCTTTAATTCTTTAATCCCTGCAGAGGCAGGAGGGTATCTGTGAGTTGAGGCCTTTCCCATCTACATAGTGAAACCCTGTCTCAACAACAAACAAAAATCTCACAAAGAATTTCCTTGCCTTGTATTTATGCTGAGAATCAACTGGTTGGGTCTTAGTGCCTAATAAGAGGTCAATGTGATTGATACACATGTGTGCTGAGATGATCTAGCCCTTTCTTCTTCAGAACCTTTGCCTCCTTTCTCTCTGGATCACACTTAAGATATTTTTGAGTGCTGGGAGTGGAGTGGTAGTGCACACCTTTAATCCCATCACTTGGGAGGCAGAAGCAAGCCTGGTCTATGGAGTGAGTTCCAGAACAACCAGGGCTACATAGAGAAACCCTGTGGAGGGGGAGGGAGGGGAACACGACCAGATAAGGTGATCTGAAAAATATAAACCAAGAGGCACAGCCATAAATTTTCCTCACAGCATGTAAATCTTGTGCTGATTGATTAAAACCATATAAGACCACTGCTCAGAAAAGCAGCTATATTAAAGTACCTTCTACTTAAGAAATGGCTCAGCAGATAGAGGCAGCTGAGCCTGAGGACCAGAGTTTAATCCCAGAGTCCATATGGTAGTAGGAAAAACTGACTCCTACCTAAGTTGTTTTCTGATCTCCACACATGAGCAGATAAGAAAGACATTTGGATTACCTGTTTGTAGCAATGTGATTTAATGGATAGCAAAGCCTGAAGATTCTACACACACAAACACACACCAAAAAAACACTTTTTCTTTTCTTTTCTTTTTCTTTTTGTTTTTTTGTTTTTTCAAGACAGGGTTTCTCTGTGTAGCTTTGGATCCTTTTCTGGATCTCACTGTGCAGCACAGGCTGGCCTCGAACTCACAGAGATCCGCCTGCCTCTGCCTCCCGAGTGTTAAGATTAAAGACGTCCGCCACCACTGCCCGGCCCAAAAAAAACACTTTTAATATTGATAGACAAATTAGTAAAATTGAAAAATACAAAAAATCCACATACAAAAATCAATGCCTTTAAAGGTATTTATTTATTTACTCGTGTGTGTGTGTGTGTGTGTGTGTGTGTGTGTGTGTGTGTGACTATCATGCTGCACCACACTGATGTGAATAATTACTATGTCAGTAAAAGTCAGTGTGTATGCATGATGTTTTAGCACATGCCTATAATCTCAGCTTTTAGGATGTAGAAGCAGAAAGATTGGGAGTCAAGACCAACCTCCAATGACTATCTCACATGCCTCGAGGCTAATTCTGTAGCATCCAGTTTTTGCAAAGAGATGTTTTGCTGCACGGTTTGCTAGCTCAGAGGCCCTGAGCTATGTGTCAGCTCTGCCTCCTTCCAGGCTGGTGGCAGGAGAATTTACAGGAGGGAATGAGAGGTTGTTTATTGGCTAGATTGTGAGAAGGGGGCATTTTAGGTCCTTTGTGCAGCCTGTGTGGTCATCATATCTCTTTACAGACCACAAGTTCTTTTAGGGTAAGTAGGGATAACTGAGTGGAGGACCTTTGTTTGTTGTTTGTTTTTCAGTGGAAGAGGTTGAACCCTTGCTCATTCATGGTAGGCAAGTGACCTACCACTGAGCTACACCCCCAGCCCTGTGAAATAAAAGGTTGGTCTTTGTTTTGTTTAGATAGACTCTTACTGTGCAGGCTGCCCTTCATCGCTGGGTAGCCCCATGTTGGCTTTAAATCCTTCTGCCTCAGCCTCCCGGGTGCTAGTATTACTGGCATGTACCACCACTCCTAGTAGTTATTTCAAGTTGAAGTGTAATTGGAATATAGCTCAACAGTTCTCCTTCCGTGGGTGAATGGTTTGACCATACATACTTTAATACTGCTGAATATTATGCAGCAACACAAGAGCAAACTGCATATGTGTTTGCAGTCTGGACAGATCTCAGTGGCATAATACTGACTTAAACAAAGCCAGCCTTCAGTCATGACATGTGACAGAGTTCCACAAATGACAGTTTACCCGGGTAAAAAACAAATAAGGCACGTAGGGCAGTAAAGAGATTCCTATGGGCGGAGAGCACTTCCTGCTTGATTGGTGGCCACAGTAGCTACATACTCAGTGGCACTAGAACAGCTATGTTACTGTCAAGCTCTCAGCGAGAAACCTGACGGAGTGGCATATGCTCATCAGCCTGAAATTGATTGTCTGATTCTGTCCTTCCTCTGTTTTACTTTGCCCTTGTAAAAAAAAAAGAAAAAAAGAAAAGAAAAAAAGGAAACCAACAATGAGGGCATAGAGATAAATAGGAAGAATGGCATTTACACCATAAAGCTGTTTCTTTACTATGTAAAACCTGGTCTATCATCCCGAAGCTTTGGGTCTCAGTAGGTCTAGCTGCAGTCTTTGAGTTCCTCATCATTCTGATAGCCTTAGGTTCAAAGTAGAGAAATGTGATCTCATTTCCTGCTTCTCGTCCCATTCTGTACCCGCCACATACTGATTGAGAGTTCACCTGTCTTATTTCCTAGTAATTCTGTTGAGCCATTTTCTCTCATAGAAGTGATAGCATAGTCCCTAGGTTTAAGTCTTGACCCCGCCACTTACTTATTCAGTCTCTTTGTGGCCTTGGTTTTTTTACTTGTGACTAATAAACATTTCACAGAGGATGTGGTGTGACAGAAGACACTTGCTAACTCTTCTGTATCATCATTCACTGTTACTCAGGTCTCACGTGTATGTTGCTTGTGTGTTGGTCTCATGACTCTCCTGTTACAAGTATGACCTGAGGTGCCCAGCACTATGCCTTCTTACAAGTTCCTTGGGATCCCTGCTTTGGGTAGGATGGCTTACTGGAACAAAGAATGGAACCACAGAAAACCCCTAAACCCTGGCCTAGAGCTGTGGCTGTCCTCCTCAAGCCAGCCCAGGCCTAGAAGTACTGAGCTCATCTATGAACCGCTGGAGCATGTGAAGTTGCCAGTCCTGCAGACCCAAAGCTCCAGGATCTCCACGACACAAGGCAACAACAGGATATCTAAGAGGAGTCCCAGTGAGGACCCAGTATTGATGCTGCAGCAGAAGTCAGAGGCCTCGAACCTGAAATGACTCATTGCAATGAACACTTACTTACAAGTAAAGATATGTGGACTCACTAGGCCACACTACCACTTCCACGATGAGATTTTTTTTGGGGGGGGGTGTTAATTGTTTGTTTTTACTTTTAAATTTTGTCTTGTAGGGGGGAGTTACAAGGACAGAGGGCAGGGAGATAAATGGGATTGGGATGCATGATGTGAAATCCACAAAGAATCAATGAAAAGTTAAAAACAAAAAGAAAGAAACCTAAACCCTTGTGTGGCTTCATACTTTGCTGTTGTTGTTATTATCATGACAAACACAATTACGACAGTCATTTGAACTAAATATAGCAGGAACACCATGAACAATCTTTGACTCCTGTTACAGGGTTAGCTGAAATGAAATAGAAGAGTTACAATTGAACTCTAGCTCTTTCTGATTTACACTGCACCCATTCATTGAAGCCCCTACCAAGTAGTTTCTCTTTTGGTTTTTTTGAGATGGGGTTTCTCTGTAGCTTTGGTGCCTGTTCTAGAGCCCGCTCTGTAGACCAGGCTGGCCTCGAACTCACAAAGATCCTCCTGGCTCTGCCTCCCGAGTGCTGGGATTAAAGGCATGCACCACTACCGCCTGGCCACTAAGTTGTTTCTATATGAAGAGCAAAGATAATAGAAGACTACATAGAGCTTCATTTCAGGAACTCGCAGATCCTCAGCTGGAGTTTATCAAGCTTTCCAAAAGATTCTTTGCACACCCAAATGGAGAACTGCTCAGAAACAGAGTGTCACTGCCACGTGAAATTGTTTTTGAGAGCTTCTAGAAAGTTGTAATGGATTCAGACTGCTATGCTACCGAGCTCTTAACATGAAAGTCAGTAGCGACCCTGGCAGCTGGGTGACGCATGTGGGAACAGTGGGAGTGACCCTGGCTGGGAAACAGGAGGCCTGGATATTGTTTCTCTTCTCTGTATCCTGCTCGGAGTCACAGGACTCTGAACCCGCAGGCCTGTACAATGGCCTTCCCCGGCCGATCACGCCCGTGCACCATCCCAGAGAATGAAGAAGTCCCCCCGACAGTCCTTAACAGTGTCCCCGAGGCTAATGGGAATGAAGACGAGAGGGCTGTATCCAAGCTGCAGCGAAGGCACAGTGATGTCAAAGTCTACAAGGAATTTTGTGATTTTTATGCGAAATTGTGAGTCTCTCCCCTCCCGGAATGCCGGCTTTCAAATCTCCAGCTCTTCATCTCTGCATTCCCTAGCCATTTGATTCAGCTAATGTGTTTTAATTTAGCATGGCCTTTCCAGGGTGTACTGAGGGCTTGGGGTGGTTCACAGATTGGCTTGTCGTATAAACTTCTACCAGAGGACATAACACATGTCAAAGAAAATGCCACCTTCCTGGGAAAAATAGAAAGCTCTCATCTTTCTAATAATGGTACATTTTCATGAGAGAAGTTGGCACTTTGTGTGATCAGGATCTATAACAGGAAAAAATATATTCTGAAAGTTCTCAAAGATAAAACTAAAACTTTAATTGATAAACACTTTGCTGAGGAATTATTCCATAACCAATATTTGAGGTAGCTAGTAAACTCTCAAGATATTTAATAACAGAATTTTGCACATTGTTGTATTTTAAGAGCAGAATATTTGTTTTACATGTAGTGATAATTAAGATGTGAGAAATTGGAAGGCTTGATTGTGGTTTCCTGAGCAGCCAGCCTATAGAGGTAGGTCCATAACATCAGTCCTGGCTGGCGAGTCAGGACTCTATCCTAAAGGCTGGGTCTTTATAGAAGTACATTCTCCCTACTCCCATATTTTCTTTGTCAGCAACACTTTTTAGTGAAAAACATTTTCTGGAAAATTAAGCAATTAGATATAACCAATCTAATGACTTGTCTCTTAAAAATAATTTCTGTCATATGTTGTATTAAATATTGTCAGCTATAAAAAAAATATGAATAGTACTAGAGAGTCAGGCGAGAGAGGAACTGAGCATGCAATCCCAACACTTGGAAGGTGTTGAGGGTCAGGAATTTGAGACCAGCCTGGGCTACATAAGACCCTGTCTCAAAAAAAAAAATCAGCCAGCCAACAAACAAGAAGATAGAGGAAAGGGAAACATGAGGTTAGTCGGGAGACAAGTGATTGCTGTTTCCTGTTCCTCCTTTGTTGCTCAAAGAATTCGTGTGTGTGTGTGTGTGTGTGTGTGTGTGTGTGTGTGTGTGTTTATATATATATATATATATATATATTACATTAATCTCTCAACCCATTTTGCCAATTCTACTGGAGTGTTCAAACGTAAATAAAGTCTGTAACATAGTGAATATGAAAAAGTCAGTGGTAATAACATGTTTTTATCCAAGGACCTTTTTTTTTTCTTTTTTTTTTTTTTTTGGTTTTGGTTTTGGTTTTGAGACAGGGTCTCTCTGTGTAGCTTTGGAACCTTTTTCTGGAACTCACTCTGTAGCCTAGGCTGGCCTCGAACTCACAGAGATCCACCTGCCTCTGCCTCCCGAGTGCTGGGATTAAAGGCGCAACCAAGGACTTCTTTATACTGTCTCAGCACCACCAAAAAAAGGAGCTTGGTGGTGGCACAGGCCTTTAATCCCAGCACTTGGGAGACAGAGGCAGGTGGATTTCTGTGAGTTCAAGGCCAGCCTCATCTACAGAGCAAGTTTTAGGACAGCCAGAAATACATAGAGAAACCCTGTCTTGAAAAAACAAAAAAGCAAAAAGGATTGAAATCCAGAACTTGTTGTATGAGAACTTGTATTTATTAGTGCAGTGAAAAGTAACTCACTATATGTTAATAATGTAGAGGAAAGAATGCCACTGCCTTCCCTTTTTGCACATTTTGTTAATGTTTTTCTTGATGCAAGCTCCTTCCCGACAGTCTGCTTCTGCACAGAGATGTGGCTGAGAAAAGGTACTTCAGAGAACCAGTCACCCCAGACCTTGAGAACCACTGAGTTAAGTGGTAGTGGATCAGGACATTTCAGAATGCTCTCCAGCTCCTGGGGAGGTCCATTGAAATTACTGAGGTTTAGCCTGGTGGCGGTGGCAGTCTTTAATCACAGACAGCTCTCTGTGAGTTTGAGGCCAGCCTGGACTACAGAGAGAGAGTTCCAGGACAGCCAAGGCAGTTACACAGAGAAACCTTGTCTAGAGAAACAAAGAAACAAACAAAACCCAAAAAATAAAAAAGATTACTGAGCTTTGGGGTATCCTTGAGAGGATTTAGAATGATAATGATAATGGTGCACAGATCTCCCCAGAACTTCATTAAAACTGTCACCATTGATCTGGGTAGAAGGAACTATATGGATCTTCTCATGTCACATTAATTCTGAGATGACAAAGTGGAAGTCTTGTTTACACACATGTAGAGGTCAAAGATAACTTGCTGGGGTCAGTTTTGTTCTTGTACTATGTGAGTTCCAGGGCTCAAACTCAAGTCTCCGGCTGCAATGAGCACTCTTACTTGCTGGGCCATTTCACTGGCCCCAGTTTTTCTTTTTCTTTTTTCTTCTTTTTTTTTTTTTTTTTGTGTGACATTCCTATTTTATATTTAGCTTACTCATTAAATCTGAGTTTTGATTGGTCTGAAATGGAGAATGTGGAAATTCAAAACACAGTTTCTTACTGCAGGTTAGAACATAGAATTGCCTTGAAACATTTGAGGGGAGAAGGTAAGTGTAGAGTTGTCCTCTGTTGGGGTGGAGTGGAGAATAACTATTGCTGCTTTTGCTATGGAAACAGCCAAACTTGGAAAGAGGTAGGAGCAAGGCAGCTGGTTGAAGTAGCTGTGGAGTTAGAGGCTCTCCACACCCACACCATCTGTCTCCTGGCATTGGTGGTGGGAGACAAACAAATACCTGAAAGGTCAGAAGTGGACGAGCTTGTTTATGGTAGAGGCCTCTGAAAACAAAAAACAAGCCAAAACAAACAAAAAAGCAACATGTAAAATCAGCATAGGGAACCTTCTCCATTTCTAGAACTTTCAGAAACAAAGTGCTATTTATGTGAAATTCTCACCTAATTCTTTGCCTCAACCATGCTGCCTTTCTTCTGAAGCACCAGTAGTTAGAGAAAACTGAGAATATTCATTGACTACATCCTATGTCAGAGGCACTCAATGTTAGCTACTGACTGGCTTTATTTTCCTGACCTGCAAAGTATGATTGCATCCCTACCATGAACTCTTCAGAGTTTGCAATAGGGTTCTGATCTGTGATGGATAAGATTCCTGTAAGCAGGGAACGTGGGTTCTACTCCTGTGTCACTCATTAACTAAGAAGCTAGTTCAGGCCGGGCGGCAGTGGTGCACACCTTTTTACCCAGCACTCGGGAAGCAGAGGCAGGTGGATCTCTGTGAGTTCGAGGCCAGCCTGGGCTACAGAGCAAGATCCAGAACAGGTACCAAAACAACATGGAGAAACCCTGTCTCGAAAAAAAAAAAATTAAAAAAAGAAGCTAGTTCAGTGATGTTGAGTTAATTGTCCACTTCTGAACCTATTCCTCTATCTGGAAAATGATCTTTATTACATAAAATTCTGTGATTTTAAGATATATTTTATACTGTTAGTACTCAGTGTTTGTCTTATGTACTGTTTGATAGAACTGAGGCATCTTGTCTAATTTTCAGAGGTTTTAAGCTCAATAGAATCCAATCAAAGGTATAATCTGAATTTAGGTTATGGTATGATGTTCAGTTACATGATGTCTAGATTTTGTTCTTAAAAAGGAAAGAAATTGGCTTTAAAATGTTATCTCACAGAGGGAAGGAACTCATGAGCCCCTCCTCGCCCCCGGCTAAGAAGCCATTGGCCTAGGGAGGGAGAAGCAGTTTTCTTGGGCAGTGTGGCCCACTGTAGCTTGCCTGTCTCCAGTGGTTGGAGCCCTATCTGTGCACATACGGCAGCCCTAATTGGACTCAGTGTGTTATGATGGGAGGAAGAGATGTGAAGTTGGGAGGGCGATGTGGAATGGAGCGTCCTGGAGGATCTGGAAGCAAGGAGGTGTATTCATAGCAAAGAACAATTTTTTTGAAAGATGTTATCTCATGGATATTTTAATTGAAGTTACTTATCCAGCTATAAGCCTGAGTTCCTTGAGGGAAACATTTATTCATTGATTATTTATTTGAGACAGAGTCTCACTGTGGCTATATGGCCTAGGCTGTTCTTGAACTTCTGGGTTCCTCTACCTCCTTAAAGGCTGGAACTACAGGTGTATCCCACTGCACCAGCTGAGGGAACTCTTGGCTTTGGTCTGTGTTCTTAGTATCTAACACTGCTTACAAGAATGCTAAAAATGTTAAAGTCAAACAAAAGCAAAGCAGAAACCCAACTGTAGAAACCCAAGTGCCTAGTTAATGAGCCTGGGTCGTTTTAAGTTAGAGTATTTGTGAAACCTGGTTTTATGGATAAAATATGAGTTTTATGTCCAGATAGAATTTGCTCCTTGTTTCTTGATGCCATCTGCTTTTAAGCCTAATTACCAGTTAACAATCTGCATCTTGTCCTTTGTGTGTTTTAGCAACATGGCCAATGCCTTGGCCAGCGCCACGTGTGAGCGCTGCAAGGGAGGCTTTGCACCTGCCGAGAAGATCGTGAACAGTAATGGCGAGCTGTACCATGAACAGTGCTTCGTGTGTGCTCAGTGCTTCCAGCAATTCCCAGAAGGACTCTTCTATGAGGTGGGTCAGCTGAGCTGTCCTTTACTTTCATGTGCATTACCAAAGATTAGTACGTGGGAGGTCAGTGATGAACTGCGTATGGAACATGTAGGTCACAACCTAAATAGGATGCCTGTGCATACCTACCTACATTCATATCCATCGGTTCATCTTATTCCAGAATCTGCAGTATCTTGTGACTGCCTACCAGACTAAGAACTTCTACTCCAAGTACAGAATCCTTTCACAAGGCCTGCAGCAGAAGCATCTCTGGCCTCCCCCCAGTGCTTGCCCCTACATGGAATCTTCCTACCCCATCCCTGTGTCTTCCTTTATCAGGATACCATTGGATGTCCTCCTGAAGGGGAACCTGTGTCACCTCCATCCTGATTTCCAAACCACACTCTGAAGATTTCCATGCATGTGTTTTCTAAAGAGTGTCTTGAACGTTGCAGGAACCACACTGTGTTTAGCCCTTCTGTGTGTCTTGATTATTTCTAAACACTTGTTTTTCTTGGTATTATCAAATGGTCTGTACGTCCACCATTATTGGAACCTTTTATCACAGTAGACCTGTACTGTGGGGATGACCTGGGAGGCCCACCTCCCACCTCCTGAGTGAAGATGAGAGTGATGACTTGAGCAGTTCGTTTTTGCTGCCACACCGTTCAACAGATTTGCAAATATGTGTATTTTTATATGACAGTATATATGTGTAGAATTATGATACAGCTAAAATATCTGTTCTTTGATTTCTTTTTTAATGATTATTTTATTATTTATGTGTATGTGTGTTTGACCTGAATATATGTCTGTGCACCACATGCATATCCGGTGCCCTTGGAAGCCAGAAGAGGTTGTGAGATCCATTGGACCTGGATTTAAAGAGGGTTGTATGCTGCTAATTGGTTATAGGAATTGAACCCAGGTCATCTGGAAGAGCAGCCAATGCTCTTTGAACTGCTGAGCCATCTCTCCAGCCCCTTTGATTTTTTTCCCCCTTTTCTCCTACCAGACTTAGATTTTCCTGTCTCCATGCTTGAGGAAGAAAAGGTAGTTTGTAATGGTCATTACTTATCTGATTATTACCACTGAGACGTTTTCCCACTCCTGGAAAATGAAATTCCCGGGCCACCCTGGAAAACATCATTTGTCCCTCATATATGCTTAAAAAACCAAACTTTCATTTGTAAATTGTCTGTATTAATGTAACTCGAGGAAATAGCATTGAACATATAGTCACAGAATGAAATTTATTCTGTGGTACACATACTATACTTGAATTCACACATCTCAGGGAAAAAAAAAACAAGCAAACAAACAAACAAACAAAACCTTAGTAGTGGGGAGGTACTCTTTTCTCTTTTATTCCTCTGGGAATCAGGAACGATGGCCCTGGGACTGTGAAGTGACATTCATGGAAGAAGAGGAGAAGGATAGGTCAGAGTCCAGCTGCAGGAGCAGAGAAGATGGAGGGAGTTCCCAGGGCATAGAGATGGTGGTGGTGGGCTGCTCTCCTGAGTCTGAGTGGCTGTGACTGGTACAGAGAAGTACAAGTTAGGTCCCTAGGGGCTGTGACAGCATGGGAGGAAGGTTGTGGCTGGAACTGCTGTCACCAACTTAGAAAACTCTTCTCAGAAGTTGACAAAAGGCTCTAAAATCGCAAACTCAGCCACATAATACTGTTTTGATTTTAAGATCTTTATGGTGAATTAGGGAAGGCATAAGATAAATATGAAGTTTTTATTACTCACACCTAGAAGTCAATACACATAGGTTAGGAAAGTATAGGCAGGGGTAGAGAAACAGGATCCATGGGCCAAAGCTTTACTGGATATCAGCATCCAAACAGGTCTCCTGTGAAGAGTTTTTCACTAGTAGATTTAAAGCAAGTAGGCACAAGTTTCAGGTGGCTGTGCTGTGACATCTGTGTCTGTACAGTCCATGCTGGGTATGGCAGTCAGCCCAGCCACTCAGGCTGTATCTAGATGACCACAAGGAAGAGGTTGTCAGGGAACAGTGATATATGACAGACGTCACACTGAGGAGCTGGGAGGCACATAACTGGAGACAGTTAGGGTAACTGAACCCTGCCTATGGTATGAGGAAGTATAGCTTCTGTTCACAGTGGATGCCAAAGCAGCAGGTCACCACAGACACTCGTGATGGAGTCCCACAGCATACACAGAGGTCAGCAGGTCACCACAGACACTCATGTCAGAGTCCCACAGCATACACAGAGGTCAGCAGGTCACCATAGACACTCGTGACGGAGTCCCACAGCGTACACAGAGGTCAGCAGGTCACCACAGACACTTGTGACCGAGTCCCACAGCATACACAGAGGTCCCAGAAATGCGGGGGTGGCTTGTTCAGTCAGTAAAGTGTTTGCCATGCTTGTAATAGCACAGCTAAGGAGGTAGTCCCACCCGGGACGTGCTGCCTGGGCTCCAGCTGAAATCTGAGGTTAAGGTCAATGGAGCTCCTGTCTCCAAAAATAAGATGGACAACAACTGAGGAAGACACTAAACATCAGTCTCTGGCCTCCACGTGATCATACACACATATACATGTGGAGCTGCACACATACATACACACAGACAAAGGAACATGTCTAGATACATACACACCAAACAGCAAAAAAAGAGGGAGCACTGCTATTCACACTGTGTAAGTCTCCTTTAATCCCTGCCTTCCTTTCCCTTGTGACCCTGAGAGGTGAGAATCTGACAGTACAGCAGGAACCAGCTGGTGGTGTGACGGGCATTAGAACCCACTTCGACCCTAGCATCTGTGCAGGCTTCTTAGGACTAAGGAAATGTTACTGGAAAACATGTAGTAACGTTTAGGGAGGAGTCGGAAACTCAGGGAAAAGTCAGTTCTGTTCTGCCCAGCACTTCATCTTCCTCCTGATCTGCCCTCGGAGAGCATCATGGAGCACCAGTCCCTCTTCATGCCTTTTCTCCAGTACTGTCCTTTGCCTGCCATTTCGGCATTATCTGGCACTATCTTCCTTAGCCAGCAGTAGCTCCTCCTATGCACCTGCTTCTCCATGTGCTCCTATCAGCTGCAAAGCCACTTCTGTTTGTCAGAGGGAGACAGCCTTCAGCAGACAGAATAAACCGTGACTCACACTCATCCTCCTGTGTGCTCCTTACTGCTCTTCACTTCGGGCCTATAAATAGCCTCCCTAGTATTATTCCAAAAGATGTTACGGATCCCAGAGTTGGGCTATTAATGGGTTGTTGCCCTCTGGGTCCTAAGGAAGAAAACTACTTTAGCTACAATGTTTACTGCTTAAGGTCTTTTTTCTAGCCAGGGATCTATAAACTGCCTGTGGAAAACAAGAACTTTACATTTGGTTAAATGACACATTAGAGAAAAAGCTATCCCCATCTAAGAATGTTATACAACATTTGTGTAATGAAACATGCAGGGCAGGACGTGTGGGGTGGTGATACAGTGTGCTTGCTTACCTTTCAGGAAGCCCTAGGGTCAGTCCCCAGCACTTCAGAAGTTAGACAGTCAGGAGAGCGTATCTTCTCCAGTCCATACCTTTGCTATTGCTTTTATCTTTTGCCAAAGCATTCTCCTCCCCTTATTTCCACAGTCCTTACTCTTTCTTTTCCCTTGGACACTAGCTATGAAGGCTTACAGATAACCAAGTGTGGTGGCGCACACCTGTGATTCCATCATTTGGGTGCCTGAGACAGGAGATTTGCAAGCTCAAGGCCAGCCTGCTCTGCTTAGTAAGACCCTGTCTCAATTAAAAAAAAAGAAGAAGAAGAGTAGGAGGAGGAGGAGGAGGAAGAGGAGGAGGAGGAAGAAAAGTTTTGTTTACTTACTTCAAAACATGATTCACTTTTCTCTGTAGAACTTCGTGATATGTTGGGTTAGATGACTAGGATATTCATCCCTCTAGCCAAAAATTAAGTCTGGAACCATACCCTCGTTCACTACCCATTCACTAGACACAAGCATTTCTGGTGTATCTGTACTTCTCTTAAGCATGGTGTGGCTGGATATGAATGCATACGTTTGTAATCCCAGCACTTGGGAGAGTCAGGAGAATCAGGAATTCCCAGCACTCACATGGTGGCTCACAACCATCTATAGCTCCAGTGCCATGGGATCTCATGCCCTTTTTTGACCATTTTCAGCACCAGGAACACGTATGGTAAACAGACATACATGCAGGCAAAACACCCACAACAGAAAAATAAATGAACATTTTTGTTTTGGTTTGGTTTTTGTTTTGTTTTGTTTTGTTTTTTTTCAAGACAGGGTTTCTCTTTGTAACAGTCCTGGCTGTACTGGAACTCACTCTTTAGACCAGGTTAGTCTTGAACTCACAGAGATCCACCTGCCTCTGCCTCCCAAGTGCTGGGATTAAAGGCGTGCGCCACCACCGCCCAGCACAAATAAACATTTTTAAAAGTCTAAAACTTGTCTCAAAAGAAAAACAGAACAACAAAATAATGACAGCAGATGCTAGGAATACTACCCAGATGTGGTCCCTGCTCACACAGTGACCCTTTCTCCTGCTAGGAATACTACCCAGATGTGGTCCCTGAAGGTGTTTTGCAGCTTTGTTCACCAAAAAGAACTGATTTACCCATGGCATCTGCCAGGAGATTTATTATAAGACATCATTACTATTGTTTCCAGTCCCATGCCCTCTGTTTCATTCCACATCTTTTTTGAGTCCACAGAGTGCTTCATCCATCTTTAACATGGAGTGCTGTTACATCTCATTATGGCTGTTTATTCCTATCCTTGTCTTCTCATTTAACCTTGAATACCTCTGGCACAAACTGTCCACATTGCTCTGATATCTCTAACACATAACTGTAATCCCAGCACTTGGGAACGGAAAGAAAGTTCAAGACTCAAAGCCATCCCTGACTACACAGCAACTGGAGACCCTGTCTCAAAAGTAAAAAGAATCAGTGCTGGCTTTCCATAAGATTTCAGTATGTGCATTCGTCTTCTAATGCATATAAGCCATTATTTTATAAATC